TCACATCGCTATGCTGTAGAATTGCACCAATGGTATTATAATTACCACAAGTACTGCATCATAATCCCTTATAAATATATATAGCTGTAGGGATAAAATATTTTTACACCTGGCCCTCATAGCTACCCTTTGACATACGCAGGGGAGGCTATTAACCTGGCTTTACAGAAAAAGACAGACTTTGGGAGGTTAACTGCCTCCCAAGGTTATATGCCCATAGGTAATTAGTAGAGCCAAAACCAAAACCCACATCGTCAGACTTCTTGCTCAGTGTTTTATTAGCACTCTTGCTCAGTCTACTAGCACAGAACTGCATGAAATAATTTTGTTCTCTGCGATACCCATCAGGTCTAGAGCACTGACACATAAGAGCTCAATGACGCTAGGCTCAGTAGCTCACACCTGTAATCCCAGCACTTTGGGAGGCTGAGGTGGGAGGACTACTTCAAGACAGAAGTTCAAGACCAGCCTGGGTAACATGGCGAGATCCTGTCTCTACAAAAAATTTAAAAATTAGCCAAGCATAATGGTATGTGCCTATGGTCCCAACTACTTGGGAGGTGAGGCAGGAGGATTGCTTGAGCTCAGGAGTTTGAGGCTGCAGTGAGCCATGATAGCACCACAGAACTCTAGCCTGGGCTACAGAACAAGATCTTGTCTTTTTAAAAAAAAATAGTTCAATAAACATTTGCTGAATAAAGAAATAAATATGAGATACCATTAGCATATAATAAAACTGCTACTTAATAATGCTGAATTATTATTACCAGGTCCAATTTAATAACGATATGGCTCTATTTCATCTATCTGGTTATGATTTAAATGGGCTGTCTCTTTTAGCCATATGCTGGATATGAGTTATGCTTTAGTACTCACGAGAAACACCTAAGAGGGAAAAAGATATATACTAAGAGGGTCCACATAGGCAAATGGGAAGGGAAAAGAAAGAGGTCAGGAAACCAAAGAATATGGGTACTCTTCCTATACCGCCCACAGGAGGGGTGGCATTCATCATTTGGTAGCAGTTACTAGAGCCAATAGTCCAGAGCAGAACTAAAAAGCCCTCTCTAGAATATAATCAAATTGTGATGGTTCAATAGAAACATCACCCGCATGGCATACGCTGTTAGAGAAAGGGATTTATTATTTATTTATACATTTAAATGCCTAATGTGATTTCATTATTTTTGAAAATGAAATACAAATAATGGCACACAAATTTGATTAAGATATGTGATAATGTTCTTGAAACTTAAGGCTGGCATTATTTATACTTTACATATTTTTTACATACTAGCCTGCTTTATTTTACATACTAGCTGTACTTTTTATTTTACATACTAGCCTGCTTGTTTTAAAAATAAAATCAGTCTTCTAAATTTTCAGAACAGCTATTCTTTCAAAGACTCTAGTAAATAGTACCACTATCTATCCAGTTGTTCAAGCCAAAAATCTAGGTTTATCCATGATTCTCTACTTCCCCCAGCTCCCTTGTTTAATTAATCAAGTTTGACTCAACCTCCAAAACATCAGGAATGTGCTCTTTTCATTGCTTCCGATACGAACACTTCATCCAAGCCACATTAGGGCCTCACTGGGGCTTTTGCCTTTTAGCATATTACTTTTATCTTCCTACCAACCCATTCCCTACCTAGCAGCTGTGGGAGATGAGAATATGCCAGTCTAAAAAGGAAGGATCATTGAGCTGAAGGCAATGAGGAAGAAGCAGATGCAGGAAAACCTTCTGCTCTCCCTCTATTTGTCTAAAAGTAGGACATAGATATGTAAAGACAAAAGATATCTGCCTCCCTCTGAATCAGGGAAAACAAAGGTTAAACCCTGAAGACAAAACAGAATGCGTATCCCCTGGAGATGGCACCAGGGGAATCTACATGAGCAAGCTATACCAACTAGCCTTTATCTGCCAGTTGTTTGCCTTCCCTCAAGTTGCCACCCCTAGAGACAAAGTCCTCTTCTTTTGTCTTGTCACTTCTCTAAACATTTACCATTTTTTTTTGGTTGAAGATGCTATTTAAGCTAGAATTTAAATCTATCTCATTGAGAACTACTCATTCCCTGGGTGTTTGCCATGTATATAAGAAATACATATGTCATTAAACTGCTGTTTGTTTTGCTCTTGTTAATCTATCTTTTGTTACAAGGGTCCATTCCAACTGAGAACCTATGAGGGTTGAAGAAAAAAGTTATTTTTCTTGCCCTAAATAGCCAAATGGTTCCTTTAAAACTATGTATCAGGTCACATCACTCCCCTGTTTAAATCCTTCCAGTGCCTTCTTCTGCATATAGAATAAAACCCAAACTTCTAACTCTGACTTTCACAGCCTTTCTCTCCCTCTTGTCTCATATTCCACTGCTCTCCCAGCTCCTAATATGCTTCCAGCCATATTCCTCAAATATGACCCGGCTCATTCTCACCTGAGAGCTATTTCTGTCCACTCAGCAGGGAAGGCTCCTCCCTCTTATTTCTGAATGTCTGGCTTTTTCTTTTAATTTTTATCTTATTTAAATTTTACCTTGCCCAAGTGTAACTAAGTACTCCCATTTTTCTGAGAGATAATTATTTTTTTCTCTCTTTTCTCCTCATTCCCCCAGTTTCCCACTTCCTACTTAGCCCTTTAGAAATGCAAACATAGGGTCATGCCTGTAATCCCAGCGCTTTTGGGAGGCCCAGGCAGGGGGATCATCTGAGTTCAGGAATTCAAGACCAGCCTGGCCAACATGGTGAAACCCCGTCTCTACTAAAAACACAAAAATTAGCCGGGCGTGGTAGTGTGCGCCTGTAATCCCAGCTACTCGGAAGGCTGAGGCAGGAGAATCACTTGAACCCGAGAGGCAGAGGTTGCAGTGAGCTGAGATCACGCCACTGCACTACACCTGGATGACAGGGTGAGACTCCATCTCAAAAAAAAAAAAAAAAAAAAAAAGAAATGCAAATATAGCCTTTTACCTCCCCTTCACCAGACGCTCCCTAGAGAGCAAGTTCATCTAACTATGTGCTTGGGCGAGATCCAGAAAGGAACCCTCACTCACCAGGAGGTTGCCTGGATCAGTAACAGCTGATTTCTATGGGCCCCCACCCCCCGACCAGGAGACTACCTTGAGAGATATGAAACTCTCTCCCATCTGGGGAGTTTTTGGCCTAGTCCTGCACAAGAAGGCACCAGCAGTCACCAGCTCGACTGCCCTGTAGATAAGACACCGGAGCTAGCACATGGACCTCCCCCTGCTCATTTCCTCCTCTGCCTTTTAAAAGTGCCAGCTTTCTGCTCCAAAAGTGAAGCAGTTACCCTTAAAGCAGGAAGCCTGTACTCCCTTCCCCAAAGCTAGCTTTGGAATAAATCACCTTCCTTATACCAGACTCCTTTCTTGATAACCTGTGTTTCGGCTACACAAGTGGCCTTCTCTGGAACTCAGCAAAGTGATCACATTCCCCACTTTAATTCTCTCCAAGGCACTGACTACTATATGATAATTCTTTTGGTTTATTTATTTCTTAATTTGTATCTTTGTGTCTTCAATCATGAAGACAGAAAGATAACAAATTGGTAGGAAGCCTCATCTGTTTTATTCACACCTAGACCTCTAATGCCCAAAAGAGTGCTTAACAAATAATACGCACTCATTGAACACTTGTTTTTTGTGGTTTTTTCCCCCTCCAAATGGAGTTATTGAATACAGCAAAATTCTATATACAAAGTGACCTGGACCGGCTGCTTCACAACACGATCCTTTCTTACTAATAGCTTGATAGGTCAGTCCATAGTGTTAAGAGCAACTTACTCTTACGTAAATTGAAAAGTGCCCATTGCACATTAAATAAATGGCCTAACTACTGGAACTTTAGTAGTTCTACAAGATAACTCACATAGGTAGGATGGAGTTCCTATGACAGGCTGCTGAACAACAGATACGAGCCATCAAAAGGCCATTTTGTGTACCGCCACTGTGAAGCCATCATGCTTCTGGATCATAATGCTCCCATTATCTGATGCTGGACACACCACAGGAATATCAGTGGGGTCAGAGGTTAGCTTAGCTGCTTGCTGGGCTAGAACAGATATCACTCCAGCATGCTCATCTGACAGGGTCCCATGGCAACCCAGATTAAGTCCTTGTGAATCTGGGCACGGGACTCCAACAATGGAGGGAGTCTTCATTGTATCTTCTAAGCGCTGCTCCAAGGTCGCCTCCATCCCACCCATGGTCCACCCCAGCCCAGAACCCTGAACACTTGTTGAAAGAATAAAAATAATGTGTATTGCACAATCACATTTTTATTAAAAGGGACACTATATATAGCTATTTATGGTTACTGTAGAAACAAAGGAAAAAGTATGAAAAGATACTGAATAGTGAACATTAACTTCCTTAGGGAGGTAGTGAAAGAAAAATTAAGATTTCTTTGAATAACCCTGCACTATTTAATTAGTAACAATAAGTATGTATTTCTTCTTGGAGTTAAAAAATAATTCAATAAATATAAAATGAGAAGAGAAGGAATATTCCCTCAGCTGGGGAGACAAACTGATTACACAGTTCTATCTCTATCTACTCCGGAAGCTGACCAATATTACAGCAATCTTGTTACACCAGTAATTTCTCCATTCACAGATGAAAGTAATTATTTAAAGGCACCTTGATCACAGGTATTAAAGTATTTCAAAACCATAAAGGGGTACAATTCAGTCATAAACAAAGAGAATTTTCTTGTAAATTCTGAAATGCCCAATTAGAACAAAATTATATATTTAGAGGAGACCTTGAGCAACTCTGAGGAAGGTAATACTTATATGTTAGGTTCTAATATATTTACTAAAAAACTGCTTTATAATCAATACCTCAATACTTTCTATTTTGGTCAGGGAAATTTTCCATGAATTTGGAATACCAAATAATGAATATCAAAAATGTCAGATTTGGGGAAAATGCTCATGACAAACCCATCGAATATACTAAGAGCTAATTAGAAACAACCTTACCTCAATCGAAGATGGAGAACTTGATGGCACTAGAAAGGGAGGAACGGCCATCTGATTGACTGCATCCTCGTTTCTGTGAAATGTTGAAATAGGCAGAATCAGTACACAGTAAATGCTAAGTTCCTGGCTCAAATTATAAATACTTCCTAAGTTCTCAGTTGAAAATGCACACACAGCATCATAGAATTAAATAAATATATATATAAATATATATAGCTTCCATATATATAGCTTCCAACCATGCAAAGTTACTAGGCACAAAAAAAGATGTACTGCTCAAGGGATACTAAGATGCAATTATTAGTGACAAAGAGTGATGATGTTAGGAGTTACTCAAATCCCATTTAGTAAGTCAGGTGCTGCAGAGGATAAGTTTGGAAAGGCTTTGGCTCTTTCAGCACTGTGGAGTATAAATTTTTCAAATGGCCATGTGCAACCTTTAGGCCCCATTAATGTCTGGAGCGTTTTGTTCTTTGAACTGGAAAGGATCCCAGCCTCCTCACTTGGCTTCTAACTTTGTTTTGCAAATGAAGGATGATGGGGTGTCTACAATAGGCCTGCAAGGTGGAGTATGAGGAGGAGTGATTGATGGGGAGGGCAGAGCTCCAGACAGAAAATGCTTTGTGGTTAGGTGAATTCTCCTCCTCCTCATCCCAATGGAGTAGAGTAGATGGCAGCTGAAACCTCATCACCAGGGTGACAGGCATACAACTCCTACAATACTGGTTCTGATTATTTGGACCTATTTCCACCACATTACTAGCAAATGGTTGGCAGTGGTCTGTGGGAGATAATGACTCTCCTTTATAGTCATTATACCCATTATGATGCACAACCAACATAATTATCTCAAGATTTATGTGAAGTTTGCTTTTATGTTTCACAATATAAACCAAGGAAGCTCACAAAAAACGCTTCCTGCTGATATGTAAAGTTCTTAGACTGTTTACAGATTTCTCTCCATATGACCCATGTATATAGAACAGCTACTGCCTGACTTGGGAGGGCATTCAAAATCCAACCCCACTGTATGCTTTAGTTTTCACCAATTGGATTATGTGACCATTCTTCCTTTTAATCATGTCACTGCCTTTTCTTGAAATGCCTTTCTTTCTCTTTTTTCTTCCCTTTCCTCCCTCCCTCCCTTCCTTCCTTTCTTCTTCTTCTTTTTTTTTTTTTTTTTTTGAGATGGAGTCTTACTCTGTCACCTAGGCTGGAGTGCAATGGCACAATCTCGGCTCACTGCAGCCCCCACCTCCTGAGTTCAGTCGATTCTCCTGCCTCAGCCTCCGGAGTAGCTGGGATTACAGGCATGCACCACCACACCTGGCTAATTTTTGTATTCTTTATTTAATTTATACCCCACCCATCCTTCCCCTCCAATGTGAGTTCAATGACCTCTAACTAGGTGAATTATTCCCTTCCCTTAAATTCAAAGACTATTCTATATATCGTTGTCTTCCAAATCCACATATTTAGCCCAAATCTTTTGAGCTTAGGACTAGGACCTGCATACCCACTCTTACTTTATATCTCCACTAGATGTCTTACAAGCATCTCAAATAAAATAGAGCTTTTTTATCCCACTTAGTCACCATATGGTTCCACAGCCAATTCTCTCCACCAGAGTAAATGTCAACAACATCTGTCCAGTTGTTCAACCAGGAACCAGGGGTCATTCTTGAAAATTCTCTTCCCTCAACTGTACTTCCAACCAGCAAGTCTTATGGATTTTACCTTCAACACATACCTTGGATCTTTCCACTTCTTTCCATCCTATCCTATCTATAAGCCATCATCATTTCTCACCTGCATGTAAGAGCAACTCAGTTACATCCTCTCTCCAACCCATTCTCCACCCAGCAAAGTTATTATGATTCTAACACATAAAACTGATCATATTTCTAACCCCTTCTTATGGCTTCTTAATGCACTTAGGATCAAGCTCAAAGTTGATAAGGAAGCTCAGAGGTCCCAGCCCCCATCTCTGGCCCCCTCTAGTGCTTCTTCCCCTTGCTCACTTATGCCCCAGTCCAGCTGCACAGACTTTCTTTCCACTTCTTAGATGAGCCAAGATCTACCCGCCTCAAGGTCTTCTCTTACCCTATTCTCTTCTGCTCTGCTTGACAAATACTTTGGCTGATTTATTCCTATTTCTTCTTCATAGCTCACCATAAATGTCATTTCCTAAAACAAGCCTTCCAGGCTTCTTAATATGCTCATAGTACCCTAGACAATGATTGCTGTTATAGGTCTGTTTCTTTCATATTTTACCTAACTGATTTGTGTGAACATTTGCTCCAAATTTGAATTTCTCTCTGGATGGGAAGCATTCCAAGGACAGGACTCATGTCCATCCTACTCCCTATGACACTATCTAGGGGTAACATAGTGCCTGGCAAGTGTTTGTGCTTAACACAGTTATTGAAAAAAAAAAAAAGAATGAATGGTGGGGTGGGTTGGGGTGGGATGTAATGACAACTCTCTTCAATAAGGAGACAGAAAGGTAGGAGTCTCAGTTCTAGCCCAGTCACTAACTAACAGAGGGACTTTGGGGAAATCACTTCTCAGAGTCTAAGTTATAAGAATCCTAAATTGGTTAAATTTTTTGTGGAATGAAACACAGCATAAATAAAAACATGAAGTCTAGGTGCCATTTCAAGCTCTATGCTTCTTGGATTCTTAGACTATCTAGGCATGAACCAAACCAAACCAAATGGGAGAAAAACTACAACTATAAAGTGACATAGCATATCAAGCACATCTCTGTTTTTTCTGACTGCATTTCAGGTGCCTTGAGCAAACACTATTATGTTAAGAGATGGCTTGGCTATTGTTTTTCAGCGAGTACAATCCATTCCTCAGCAGTTTGCTCACATATAGCAAAAGTAATCCGTCACTTGTGGGTAAAGAACAACATTTTTCCAGTGGTAATTCTGTTTCCCACTCAATTTCTCCCATTGAACAACACAATAAAGCTCAGCTTAGGGCCGAAAGCCAACAGGCCATGTCTGCTCTAGATCTGGAACTCACAGTGCAGAGTATACTTGGCAGTAATTAAATAGATGACTTTTCATATCTCTTTCAAAGGTTACCAGCATTAAAAATATGGCTGTACATGAATTCTTATTGAGAGATCATGATGAACTGAACCAAGTTAGCTCAAATTGGCCAAGTTATCCCTTTACAATTTAATGATTTTTTCACAAATTAGTATGACTTTAATGGCCTTTAAAGTCCATATTAAATTTTTTTAACCTTACATAATAGAAAACCAACAATTACTCTCACTGAAAAGAAGAAAGCTGCTATAAGAAGTTACAGTTCATAATCCTTTATAATCCACTTAATAAAGTGGTCACATCCCTCAGCATCAAGCCATGGAGAGCTGACATAGCTGCAATTTTCAAGAGAAAAGTAGGAAAAGGGCAACCAAAGGAGAGAAGGCATTTATACTTCAGACAAGCAGTTGGGCCTGAATGATATCTGGAGAACCTTTGAGCCCTCATATCCTATGATTCTCATAAGTAATGAAATCTGTTTGCTTTATAATTAAACCTCTTTTTTTTTTTTTTTTTTTTTTTTTTGAGACAGAGTCTCTCTCTCTCGCCCAGGCTGGAGTGCAGTAGCGTGATCTCGGCTCACTGCAGCCTCCACCTCCCAGGTTCAAGTGACTCTCATGCCTCAGCCACCTGAGTAGCTGGGACTACAGGCGTGTGCCACCATGTGCAGCTAATTTTGGTATTTTCAGTAGAGCTGGAGTATCACCATGTTGGCCAGGCTGGTCTTGAGCTCCTGGCCTCAAGTGATCTGCCTGCCTTGGACTTCCAAAGTGCTGGGATTACAGGTGTGAGCCATCAAGCCGGGTGAAACTTTCCTTTCCATATAATTAGCCTAAGTTTCTTAGGTCCCAGTGCCTCAAAGAGAACACAGTCAGGAACTGTAATTGTTTGTGGGTGTTTTTATAATTATCTTTAAGAGCTGCTGGGAGAGAGATAATGGACTTCTCCCACAGATAAGGGTGAGACCGGTTTTCCAGAGCACGGAACACCGCATGTGTGTCCTCATTGCTGTACTTGCCACGCTCTGTTCAAATTACTTGTGCTGGTTTTTCTCCCACTCTGAGCACAAGGATGAGATCTTATTACTTCATATCCTCAGCTTGTAGTGTGGCACCTGGCAGGCAGTAGGTGTACTGTGATGTAAATGTCTATTGAACAAAAGTGATCTTAATAAGACAGGGAAAAGAAACCAGAATTCCTGAAACCACCCTGTGCTTTCTGAGCTATTTCCATGCGTTAGTGAGGCCGTGCTGCCTGTAGTCAGCCAGCCATCAGTATTTACCACATGTAAAGGCCATTTCTTGGGGTGTCCACCCAGCTCACAGTGATTCCTTGGATGGGCCATAATGTCTACACTAGGTACTAATAGCCCTGCCCTCAATCAGACTGGATAAAGGGGGGCAGACATCTGCCTCAGTTTGGGGCAATCAGATTCTCTCTCCCAGAGGCTTAACATTTGGAAGAGACATATAAAGATCAGGAGTGCAACGTCAAGACTACCAATGGAAATGCTCAAGGAAAAACAGGGGTTCAGAACCCCCTTTTGCCGACATCTCTAGAGCTGCCCTGGGTCCATCTCTGGAGCCTTATTGTATGGATCTTTTTCTAAGAGTCCATGAGGCATCTGGACTCTCACAATACATTCTCCTTTTAGTTTAAGCTGGCTGGTGGTTACTTTGATTGGTTGAAACTCAACTATATAGTTTTGATTTTATTTTGAATATATACATGTCTTTATTTAACAAATATTTATGCTATGTACACAAAAATGGATAAAATGGATTAAAAATGGATAAAAGACGATTCTTGCCTTTGATGATATTAGCATCATTTACTTAGCTGTAAACAAACAACTAAGTAAACAAACAACTGCAATTGTGGCATTAATATCTGATCTGGTTTGGCTGTGTCCCCACCCAAAATCTCATCTTGAATTGTAGTCCCCAAAATCCCCATGTGTCAAAGGAGAGACCAGGTGGAGGTAATTGAATCATGGGGCAATTACCCCCAT